TTATGTTAATAAATTGCTTTGGCCTAAAAAACATTAATCAATTTCTTTCCAAAGCGCATACGCCTCTCTATACTCTGCTGTTCGCCTGGCCTTGAAAAGAAAGTCACTTCCAATCCCCTTTAAATTGTCAAGACCAGAGGGGGCAGCTGAAGAGGGGGGCGGGGAGCTCCCTAAATCCCAATGATTATAATGGAACCCTGCTGTGTTTCCATAGAAACGTAAAGAGTGTATTCTTCACTGAATGTACATGAAGGGGAAGGGTGAAGCGCAATGTTGCTCTCAAGGTGTACAATTATGGAAGAGCTGAAGGGGAAACAGTCCGTTCCTCAAGGATGAGGGCAAACGCACTGAGTGGAGGCTGGAGGGGGCAAGGACAGAGACCTATGTGAGATCTCACTTATTATGGAATCCCCAGTTACACCACTACTCAAGGGGGGTGCTACTATAACCCTCACACAGAACTGAGTCACAGAAAGAGGAGCAACTGGCCCAAGGTCACCTCGCTGGTCAAATGATGCAGCCTCATTCCAACCCAGGATCATCCCATTCAAATGCCATTACTCCCTCCTCCTCATTGGCTGCACTTCACAAGGGTGACGATGAGGCAATGCTGTGTCTCCTGGCTCTTCCCTTCCCAGAGCTGCCAGTCAGTCTAGACCTCTCCTGGAACCATCCAGAGCCTTACCTGTCAAATTGGCAATTAGGATACAGTTGTGCCTTCACAAATGCAGACAGGTGCTTCATGATTGTTTGAATTTTTGAATCGGGAGGGCAAAGAAATTCCATCTCTAAGGAGTGGCAGGAGGCCAGTGCTTGTGTGTGTGCCTGTATGTTGGTAAGGGTGTATAGATGGAGAGCTGGGAAGTGTTTAGGGGTGGTGGAGACAAGTAAGAAATATATTCTTCAAGTAGCAGTTGCTTAGTCATTGTGAGCTTCATAATCTGTTTTGCAAATTGGGAAGTAAGTTCCACAGTGGCAGTCTCTCTAGCTTACTTACTATTGTGTCCCTGGAAACTAATACAGACCAAGTAGAATGGATGAGTGGATAGGTGGAGGGAGGGGTGGGCGTATAGATGGATGGATGTATGGAAGGATGGATGGATGTATGGATGGATGGATGGATAAGTGAGTGGGTGGATAGATGGGTGGATAGATAAGTGAGTGGGTGGATAGGTGGAAGGATGGATGGATGGATAAGTGAGTGGGTAGATAGATGAATGGAATGTCCTCTACCGTATAGTATTAGAAAACCCTAGACAGAGTGGGTGGTACCCGCTGTACTTGGCTCTATCTGGTGTTCTAGGGTGAAGACACCGTTTTTCTCTCTCTAGGAGGACAGATCTATCTCAGAGAGCTATGTGCGTGGATTCTTACTATCTGTTTAACTATCATGTCCCTAGTGCTAGAGGGCATGAAAATCAGAGCTTACCACTCACTACTTTAAAGTCTTCTTTGGTGCAATGCAGACAACTGTTCCCTAGCCTGCAAATCCATATTGCTAAGTTTCCAAGGAGGTGCACACTGAAATTCACCGCAGAGGAAAAAAGAAGCTCAATGCAGGGTGAGCTATACTGAAAGTGGCTACATCTGTCCAGTGACCAGACAAGTCCTGAGCTTGGGCTAGAAGATCTTTAGTTGCACTTGATGGTAGCTACCATTTACTGTGGACGTGGAGCCCTGGACAAGCCCTGCCAAGTGGCTAGTAGAGCCTGTCAATATATTGCTCTTCCTCCAGCATCTAAAATAGGGCATTGTTGATTGAATGGTGTTCCCCCAAAACATATGTTGGAAATGGTAACCTCCATGCCTTTGGTTCCAATCCCATTTGGGACTGGGTTGTCCTGGTTATGCGAATGTGGCAGGATTAGTGTTGGGATGAATTTGAGTCGATTTCTTTAGAGATACAAGTGATTAAGCAAGGCAGCAGAAGAGAGGTTGGGGGCGGGGGTAGATACACGTGAAGATCAAGAAGCAGACTAAAGTGAGCAGCACCTTCTTCTAGAGCCAATGGAGAGAGCAAGTGCTCCGAACTGGCACCTCTAACCGCTCATCACATCTACATTGAGGAATGCCATCCTCTTGTGGTATTTTCCTGTTCAAGCAACTTTCTAACTAAAGCACAGGGCTGGGCACTGAAAGCTCAGGATACATTTGACAAAGGACAGCACCCTTTGTGCCGACTTCTTTTCCGTGCTGAGTGCTGAACTGAATGTGCCCTGCAGGTTTCCCCATGAGCTTATGGGTAGAACAAATGTTTTATGAGCTTGCCGGTTAACCAAGAGGTTGAGGGGTTGAGTCCATGTAGGATGAAACACTTATGGTCTACCAGAGAGTTCTTGGGAGCCCTGTTCTACTCTGAGGCCCATGGGATTGCCGTGAATCAGGATCTGCTGGACAGCCACTGGAAGCCGCTAGGATTCTGTGGTTGTCGTTTGGGGGATCCTGTGATGAGTAGATATTGTGCTCATCTTGCAGATGAGGTTGCTCAAGCTTGAAAATGGAAAACAGCTTCCTTAAGATCTCAGTGCCTATCCGAGCCAGAGCTTAGCTGTGATCCATCCATGGGGCGGGCCACCCAGCCAGGAAGGAGGGTGCTCTTATGAAGGAGAGCAGGAGGCGCAAGACGGGGAAGCATGTTGGCCAAGGAGAAGAAAATCAGGGTGTCAACAATACAGAAACCCAACCATTCGACAAGCCCACCCCCACCCCTGTGCCCCCATCAGCCTGGCTCCCAAAGAGGCTCTATCTGAGCATGCTCACTCCTACCACGGCTGCATGGTAATCAGCCTAGCATTCACTCCCACTCTGAGCCTGGGCCAGGGAGGTGCTAAGGAGGGGTAGCAAGAGACTGGTGTCCCATCTCTATCACTGACTACTCCTTTACAATCCTGGCTGGGTGCTGAGGCTTAAGCTAGTCATGCCACACTACACACCAACTGGGGGTCTTTCATCTCCCCTACAAAGCCCTGCAGTTCTCACCAGGAGGATGCCCGCTTCCTGTCCCTGCATCTCCCCCTCCCGCTCCCTCCCACACTCCACACTCCTACACTGACTCCCTCATCCTTAGGCCTTAGGAGAGCCCTGCTAGGAGACCAGGTAGCGAATGCATCTGCAAGCTGAAGAGCCTTTTTACAAGCCACTCAGCACAGAAAACGCCTCCGTCAGGAAATGGCTAGGAGGAGACTGGCCAGTTACGGGCAGAAGGAGCTCCAGTACAGCCTGTAGGGTGGCCTGACAGGATGCCTTGTCTCTGTCCAGGAGGCTCTCCAAGGGGGCAGGCTGAGCCAGGGGGAGGAGGCAGACCGGAGTCCCTGCAGGCTGCTGGCCAGACTTCCCTGCACAAGGCAGAACTGAGCCAGACCCAACCTCCAGCTCCCTCAGCCTCAGAGCCCCGGGGTCCAGAGGGGCAAGCTGACCTCACAGACCCTTCTGGTGGGCAGCTCAGTGCGATCAAGCCTGAAGATTACTGACTGACTCCCAAACACCCACACACAACTCACAACGACAAAAAAGAGTGAGTGCTAAGACACTAGGAAATATCCGTCCACCCCCCACCCACCCAACCGCACCTCCCCCCCATCAACTGCTGTCGGTTCTTACAGTGATTTCATAGGACAAAGAATCGCCTTTGAAAGACCTCCAAGACCATAAGCCTTGAAGGAAGACAACCACCTCCTTTTCTTCCCATGGAGCAACCGGTGGGTTTGAACCACCAATTCCCGGCTAGTAGCAGAGCACTTCACCACTGCACCACCAGGGCTCCTTTGTCCGTCCATAGGGGAGTATTTAAACAGACAGGTATTATAGAATGCGGACAGGGAGAATTATTGCCTCAGGATCTCTAGGACGCATTGAGAACCGAGTCAAAGAACGAGGGATAATATATTGGTAGTAATTATGCCGCTGCTGATTATAGCAGCGGGAGCGAGGCTAACGCATTTGGCAGGCTGACTTTCCACCAGAGATGCTCGCACTCACGGACAATGCCTGGCTCTGCACCCACTCATTCCAGAGACAGCCTGGGGAACCCAGGCTATTGCCACCCATCTTTTACAGATGGGGAAACTGGGGTGCTAGAAAAGGAAAGTGCTTGCTGAATATCACACACACACACAGCTTGTGAATGGAGTAGACTGGATTTGAACCCCAGAGCCCAGAGCCTTTGAACTTGTTCACCACTCTGACTGCCTTTCTGCAGGACAGATTCTTTAAACAAAATGTTCTTGCATGTGTGTTTGTAGGGGTGGGGGGAGGGGTATGCTGTGTATACATACATACAAGTATATAAATGTACAGAGAAAGTCATGGAACCTCTTGGGGACCTAACTCTTGGGAGTGGTCACCCTTGGCAGGTGAACAGGACCTGGCTGAGGCCAAGGGATCTGTCATCAATGGCTGTATATTCCTCTTTATCACCTGAGTTCTACATAAGGAGGCCTTTTTCATGTCCCATATGTGAAAAGCATTAAGAATCTTAAGCACTAAATCAGTGTAGAAGAGATAGAGAAGGTATTTACTGGACCTTACTCTCCGGCTTCCATTCTGACTAATCCCTCAGAAGCGGAGAGTCATGAATTCCTCAGAGTCTGCTCTTCGTCTGGAAGCCCTGCTGAAACCGGTTCATGGTGGGTAACCCTGCTGGCATTTGAAATACTAGTGCCATAGCTTCCAGCGTCACAGTGAGACACAATCCACCGCTACAAAACAAACGGACAGACAACCGTCTGTCAGGATGCTGTGTTCCAAGCCTCATTTAATCTTAATAACACCCGTGAGTACGTCCTAGTGGGTTCCAATTCCATGAGGACACGGAGGTTCAGAGAGGCAGGGAATCTTTCTCTAGGTAACTAGGGGTCTGGGACTGTAACTCCCTGCAACTTAAAGCCCATGCTCGTTCACGTCAGCCTAGCGCTTCCTGTCCAACCAGGGTCCCTGGTGATGCTCAATCCATAGGTGCTGGGTTGCATTTACTTTCCGTTCTTCCTGTCTGTGTTTTTCAGTGTAGAGTATGATTTCCGGCAGCAGGAAGGCAGGTTCCATGAAGTTCTACAGAGCCTGGAGGAAGTGGAACCTGCTGAGGAGGCCTCTCCCCCACCCAAGGCCCCCGCAGAAGCCGCAGCCCCAGAGAAGCAGGACTTGCGGCGGAAAACCAAGAAGGTGAAGAAGAAGTGTTTCTGGTGGATCTGAGCCAGTTCCAACCGTGCCCTCTGCCCTCTCCAGAGGGCCTCTCTGATTGGTGAAGCCACTGTCTTCAGGCCTTCTCGGATTCCTGGCAAAGGCTCAGGTGACCGAGCCGCTGGACCTTGCAAACCAGGAAAGCCTTGTGGCTGGCGTGGCCACCGCGGAAGACCTGACACCGGCCTTCCCTGAGTGGGTGGCACTGCTCGCTAAGGACTTCACGGGCATGAGAGGGACCGAGTTCCCCATCACACTTGGTTTGCAAGTCCAGAGTCCCACCTTGAGCAAAATCAGCCACTGCGCTGCAGCTCCACAATGCTGCGTCCTTGCCTCCCCGCCTAGGTCCATCCACCCGAAAGACAACCCATGTGGTGAGCAGAGCAGGACCTGAGGGGAGGAGTGTAGCAGGACCCAGGCAAAGGAGAGAAATAGACAAGCTGGTCGGTGCCTCAGATATCCACACACCTAAGCACAACAGCAGTGGGCCGGGCATCAGACTGCGAGGTCACGCTGGTGTGTTGCGGCCTTTGACCTTTGTAACTAGGCCCTTGATCCCGGATCGAGGGCTTGTCATCTCACGCTGTGGGGCCTTGCTGCCTGCCCCGACGTCACGTCACCCCGTGGTATAAAGGGTTGCTGGTGTGGCTGTCTTGCATGGTTTACACCAGTAAGGACTGTGGTTGCAAGTCCAAGAAGGTCTCTGTACTTGCCGCTGCTCCAGTGCCCACCTGGACCGCCATGCCCCTCTGCCTGGGCCCCAGACTACCTGGCAGCAGGGTGTAAGCTGGTCCCGGCTTGAACTTTCAGATTCCATCATTAGCTTACCTGTCACATAGACGATCATGAGGTCCAGCAGCCTGCTTATCAATTACATCCAATCAATATAATAAATAAGGCTGGGGGAGGGGAAACACAATGTCGGCTCTCATCATTTCATTCCATGCATCCCCTGCAGCAGCCTTGTTATGTAGATAGGCTCACGCATATATTAACCATACTGTCTCCCTTCCTGGTGACTAAATTACAGTCACCTGATTGAAGCAGCAGCAGCAGGACTGGGGATAAGAATATATATACATATATATGCTTTTTCTTCAATTTTAGTATTAAAGGCCTTTATTTCCCAAAGTCTGAATTCTTTCCAGGTCTGGCTCATTCTTTGGACAAGATCCCATCCAGAAGCAGCGGGGCCCAGTTAAACTTGCGTGGCTGAACAAACTACTAAAGTGATATCATTAAGTACCTGCAACATACTCTTAGGAATCAGGAAGAGGACGGCAAGGTTCAGGTGCTGCCTCTCAGTAAAGTAGATTCTCTACTAGCCGTGGCTGGATGGACGCTACTAGCCCAGGGCCCCTTGCAGCTAAGCGTGCATTAAATGATGAAGGCATTTTCAGAACCCCGTTTTCGGAAGCCTGAGCATCTGTGCTCGGCTCTTGGCAGAGTGCAGCTTCCTGCGTGTACGTAGGATGTGCGCTAACCCACCGCAAACGGGGACTAATTGAGCAAACCACTCCAACCGTTTCTCCTTCCCCTGTCACAGTGCTGCAGTGCACAAAGCTATTTCAGCAGGAGCAGGAGGGAGGCTTGGCAAGGAATCTCAGCGTGCACTATTTAAGTCTTGGAATGTCACTCAAGATGTTCTTGTTCTGTTTCCAGTGTAATGTTTAAACCCACAAAATGAGACCGGAATACATAACGTCAAGTTTGAATTAAGATAAATATACCTGTCATCTTTGGGAAGCCCCCACTTCAGTAAGATGTGCTACCACTGGCTACAAGCCACCCATCCTCCTTTCTGTAGCCTACAATCCACTCTCAGCTGGTCCCAGTGATGGAAAAGGATCGGCCCAGAGGATAATCCAATAAAGCAGATCACTGGGGATCTCTTATGTAATTTCATCTTTGAGTAGAGCTTCCATCTTAATTTGCTTTGTGTATGCTCATTTCCGAGTGAATCTATGTTCTCCAGTGGCATGCTAGAACAAAAATAATCGTGTTCCCAGAATTAAGAGACCCAAGCAAAGGAGTAGTCGGTGTGCTGCACGATAACCTAGGGCAACTTGTGTTTGTGCACTCTCAAAGGGAGTAAGAACCCCTCCCCCTTCCTAGAGCACCTTAGAACAGGCAACAGACTCAGCAGAACAGAGCTTAACTGAAGCATTTACCTCAGTTAGCCTGGAGTGCTGAAGAGATGGCTGAGCTCAAGGGCTGAGCTCAAGGGCAGGCCAATCCACCTTAGAACATTAAGAAGCTTGTGTGTGTTCAGTTGGGAGCCTCAGAAAAACCCTCAATGGAGTGAAATAAAATCGAGATTTGGGAAAAAAAGAGATAGACAGAGATCTAGAAATAGAGTCAAACAAGGCTGATTCTACATCCAAGCACAACACAGCATTGCTGAGGGCCACAGACTGGAAGCTGGGGGACAGTTATCATTTAAATATGGAACATTTTAAATTCATTGGGGTGGGGGAAGGGAAAGATTTCATACACACCTTCCTGCTAAGTGAAAATGACATCTCTGTTTAAAAACATCACTCAGACATATACCAAAACTCTATACTCACCCCTCATGTGGAAATTGCTTCTCTTTGTGAAATACTATGTAACATCTGTCATGATGTTCGATAGAAACTCTGCCCTTGGGGTTAAGTGGTTTTATGGAGAGAGATTAATTTAGCAAGCCTTACGTTTATCAAATGGAAGGGGAGGGAGGCCAATAAATCCATTTAAATGGCAGGAGTTTATGTAGCTGATTCCTCTGTAGTTCAAACATGACTGCGCACTCACGATACTTGTAACAATACCAGCTCATCTATAGAGCACCTTCTTAAAGATGATGTATCAATGTAAGGTTTTGTAAATTTCTAAACTGTTTTAAATGGGATATTATCTTTTGCAATAAACTTACATATTTTTCCTAGGTTTTAAGACTCCATTACTAGCTTGGATATATTTGGGCTTTAAAACGTAGATTTAAGAAGGAAGGCTCAGCAGCCCTATAGGCCGGGGATGGTTCGCATCACAATTGCTTCTATATTTCTATATGTCCCATGGAAACAGGCCAACAAGGGACAGCCTGGGGACATCATGCCATGATGACTGACAAGCCACTTTGCCCCGAGAGAGAGGACAGGGAAGTTCCTAGCTTCGTACAGATAGGATGATTTACTTATCATAATTCTCTACACCCTGACGCAGCATTCCTGGGCCCTGGACTGTTAAGGGAAAGTCAGTGGTACCAAAGCACCAGTGGCTTCTCCTGAGAAAAGGCCTGGAGCTCTCCTCCAGGAAAAAGTCCCCCCTGGGAAGCCCTGCTGACCAGTTCGGCTTTGTTTGACCACGTCCCTGTGAGTCACAATTGGCTTGCCAGCACGTAATTTCTTCCGGACCTATAATTTAATCCACAGTGCCCTTTAACTGTTCTCCTTTAACCCGGAACCACACCCACTGCTGTAGAGTCAATTCCACCTTACAGTGACTCTATACAGAATTTCCAGGTTCTTATCTTTACTGGAGCAGATAACCTCATCTTTCTTCTTCAGAGAAGCTAGTGGGTTTAAACCACTGACCTCATGGTTAGTGGTCCAAGGCTTACCCAACAGTGCTACCAAAGCAATATTGTATCACCATCATTTGGAAAACCAATATATCACATTCCAAAAGCAGAAGATGAATCAATATGTCTTATTAAATTTTTGCTAGAATATTGAACACACTAAGCCTGAAACCCACCCTGGTGGTGTAGTGGTTATGCATTGAGCTGCTAACTTCAAGGTCAGTAATTTGAAACCCCAAGCCACTCCAAGGGAGAAAGATAGGGTTTTCCATTGACATTTAAGAGTTAAAGTATTGTAAACTCACAGGGACAGTTCTCCCTGTTCTATAGGGTCTCTATGAGTCAATATCAACCCAATGGCAGAGAGAAAGAGAGCAGGAGAGAGACAGAGCAAATACCCAAGGCACACTGCAGTTACATGAACACTAAACACGAGTCTACTTGACTCACTAGGTGGTGGGGAGAGAACTGAAAATAATGCTTCTATCATGTGATGCATTGCTACACACACACACACACACACACACACACACACACACTGACAACAGCCCAAGACATAGAATCCTAAATCCCAGGTTTGATACCGTTCTGCCGTCATTTGGGGTTTTTTTGCTTAGTGTTCTTGGCGAAGTTACTTAACCTCTCTAAGCCTCAATTCCTCAACTGTAATGCTAAAACAAAGGAGTGCCAGCAGCACAATGGTTAAGCACTCAGATGCTAACCAAAATGTTGGTGGTTCAAACCCGGCGGTCACTCTGTGGGAGAGAAGACTTTGCCCTCTGCTCCCATAAAGATTAGGGAAACATGTCGGGCAGTTCCATCTGCCCAGTAGGGTCCCTCTGAGTTGGAATCAGCTGGATGGCAGAGCGGTGCCACCACTGCCACACTGATGAGCACAACTGCTGCCTCGCATTGTCTCCTAACAATGAGCTGAGTGAGGCTCCTGGACCACGACAATAGATGGCCACCACCTCTTCATGTGCGGATTAAAGTCAATTGGGAGAGGGGGCAGAAGATGCCTTCAAGAGGCTGCAGTGGATTTCTGAACCCTGTGGTAGATAATGGGGTGGGTAAGAAGTGAACTTTTCCTAGCCTTACGAAAGTCACTAGAACCCATGACAATCAGTAGCGGATAACAAAGTCCTCTGCAGTGCAGAAAGTGTGACAGACACACGGGTGAGACCCAGCCTAACACTGGGGTGTGAAGGATTCCTGCTGGGACGAAAATGCATATCCTAGAGGAGAAAGCCCTTCAAGAGTCAGGTAAGGTTCACCATTTGCCCAAAGGCTGGCGGGGAAGCATGTGACAGGTGAGTATTGAGTGTGCAGAATGCCAGAGGGGCTGGGCACCGTGCTCTAGGAAAGTCCCAGGAACCTTTGAGGCTGGACTTGAAACCCCTTCTTGCCTGCAGGTACGATTTCTGCTTCAATCAAACCTCCACTTGAAAAGGCTCTAATTTTAAATGGCTCCAGGCAACTTGCCATATCCTCAAAACATATTTCTTATTTCAAGTTTTAAGAAATGGAGAGGCTTTATGATCATTACGCCCATCAAGCAATGCTTGCGATAGAAAAGAACTGTGGATGAGTCCAACACTACTTCCATGTCTTGCAAGCCCTCGACTGACTAAATGATCACGATCCTCTGTGGATTGTGACTTGACTTGACTTCCTCCCAGCTTATTTTAACCAATCGGCAGCCTCAGTTCCTTTGGATCACATCTCGTCACCCCTGCTTCTGAGTTTCCCAGATAAACGATTTCTTCCTGCCACTCACAGACCTTCCCCAAGACCTACAGACCAGGGCTTTCTCTCCTGGAAGACAAGGAGCTTGGATTTCTCATTGCAGACTAAGTCAGCTCACAAGGCAAATGCCCCTATTGCTTTCCTGGCCAAGGGCACCTTCTTCTCTCACTTGGCCTCCAAAAGTATCCTAGCTGGTTTCTCCATATCTGCTCCATCCCCCCCATCCAATCCATCCTCCCTGGCAACTAGAACCATCATAGACCTAAACCATGCACTCACTGACTTAACCCTCCATTGGCTTCCAATTAGTGAAGGGGGTCAACCAGGTTTACAGGTGTGACCTAGATGACTTTGCATGACTTGGAATCACCCCCCACCCCCCCACCTCCAATCCCCACCCCTGTACTCCCTGCCCC